TAAGTCAAAAATCTAAGTCAATTCTATGATATCATACGAATCTGGTTTCTAAAAGCATAGTACAATGATAAGATTTTTTAACAGACTACAAAAAGGAGGAGCTTCTGAATTCGATTGTATGTTTCTTTGGTTACTACGTTACTCCGTTCCTGGTTTTCCGATTTTCATATATATTTTTTTTATTAAAAATACCCAACTGACTGTAGTCATATGACACACTGAGAAAAAGACATATCGAATACTTCGCTTAGGATTTACAATTCAACTTACATACAAACAATACTTACATACAATCACATACATTTATATGTATTCAAAGACCTATTTGTTATTGTTATTTGACTATATGTAGCAATTATAACACAATCATCTAAATATGCAAATCAAAAGTCCTGTCTGAAAATAAAAAAAACATGCGAGTTTTTTTTATTTTTTTTTTAAGTAAAGTCGTTCTCGTGAACTAGTTTCATAATAAAATTCCGAGCATCCATTAGCCATCACATGCAGTTTGTCCCGTCTGTGTGTCTTCATTTAATAGCATTAATCTTGGTCCGTGGAAGCTATGTGCTATTTTTAGCATTTTCCTGTTGTACCGCGCCCCCAATTGCTACTAATGGGTGTAATAGTTTCTTCAATGTTTTATTGTAGGTTTCCACTGTCGAAACACATGTATAATATTATATAAAAACATATTGTCGTCTCTTACAGTGGCTTTCGGGAAAACAATGACAATATGTTTACAGTTCTTACTGAAATTTCACGGCAAATCAAAGTAATCCATTCACATCGAATTAATAATTTATTCCATCCGTTTTTATGTTTTTATTCAAAGCGTGTACGTGTGATAAACTTACGAATAAACGTGAATATTTGGATGGATGTTTATTTGAAGGCACGGCTCAATTGATCTCGATGAAATTTGGCACAGATGTAGAACATAGTCTGTCAGAACACAGCCTACTAATTAACATTTTATTATCACGCAAACGGAGTCACGGGCGACGACTACTCACGTACATTTTTTTATTAACAATTTTTATTTTGGATTATTATATCAAGATCCCAACCATGTTTAAAAAAAAAGTCACTTAAGATCTATAGAGTCTTTTATAAAATGTCCATAACAGATAACCGAGTGGCTTTTCAACCCGAATGATTGTGATCCCGAAAACTGGTCGCGACCCCGTATATATCAACCAATTGTGAAGAACTCCTTATCAATAAGATATGTTAGAACAAATGTATCTTGTGTTGATGGCCACTTGAATGAACGATAAGGCAAGCTTTAATTATCATATGAGCTAAATTTAGTATAGATTTAAATGAACTTTATAATACCCAATTAAATTTCAGTAATACTTAAGCTAATAAATTTCATCACTAGAAAAAAAAAAACAAAATTATTTCTAATTTTAAAATTTATATATTTTATTGGAAATAGGACGCAAAATGAAATATAAGTTTTAGGTCAATAAGCAAAAGTACTAAACGAATTAACGAATCAAAACTCCAGTGGTCATATTTTTTTATGGTACCCTTCTGAAACATAAAGTTCTCGACCTGATTATCTTGGTTCATTTGAATCAAGGAAGTTATCAAATCTATACAAGATGCTAACATTCGTATGTCGCTGTACGCTCGCGACGAGTATTAAAATGGGGTCGACACGCGGCCTCGATCTGTCGTGGGCTATCAATTGGCTTGTTATAGCTACGTGCTGTATCGTCAGCAAACGGTATAGCTTGACCTGGTGTACTGTATTTTAACAATAACGTGGTTTAAAATGGCAACTCGCTACCTCAAAAGCAAATATCTTACTAATATTTTTTTTTTTATGATGGAACTAAAAATTTACGATTTTCGCCCTTTTCCCTTGCCCTTATTGATGGACTGGCAGGAGAAGGTGCAAGACAGGCGACTTTGGCGATCTCTTGTGTCGGAGGCCAAGTCCCACTTTGGGTCGATGTGCGCCAGCGGAGTAAGTATTTAAGGGCTACTTCAGGATTTATCATTTGTTTATTTATTTACGTATTTATTAAATAAAGACTGCGTAGATTGTACTACGTACATTACTTAGCAATGCATCGTTTATTGCGGTGTAAAATATATCAATATTGTATTATAATATTAGAACTACTATTGATTGTTTACCAGTCGTGATCTTCTAGAGGTGTTGAAGAGTTAAAGTACATAAGTTCAAGTAAATGGTATATAAATATCGAGGAAAACTCTAGGATAAAATTTACGGTTGGTGTTGCCATAAATAAATGTCAATATGATATATAAAGAAATACAGATAATGTAAACATATGAAAATATAAAAAATATTATTTTATTTAATGTATTTGTATAATAATTAAAAAAATATATATTATAGTAATCTATGTGTTCTTCCAGACTATGTTCTACATCTATGACAAATTTCTACAAGGTCATCCATCAAGTCAAACATTCGCATTTATAATATTAGTAATATAATTATTCTGATTGAGGTTACCCAGTGCATCACAAAGTCAAGGTCTACATGAATGAACATCGTGGCATCATCATCAGCTATATTTACGTTCCAGTCTACGATGATAAATATTTACGAGATCGTATTTGAATCTTGACCTTCAATTGTACATTACTAGTTTTACTGATTAGAGTGGGTTTCCACTGAAGAGATTGCATCGAATTAATAAAAAATTACACGAATATATTAGAAAAATCTGATATATGTAATAATTATAGCAATTCTAAAAACGTTTTAGGCTACGTTCTTAGGTACTGCGTAAGATCAGGCTAGGGTGAAAGATGACGGAATATTCCATTTATCAAAAGTAGTAAAATTTTGAAAGGAGTCTGCGAGTTGAATCTTACGACTGACTTAAAGTGAGTTTCTGACATCAAAATCTCTGTAAAAACATACAACAAAAAGATATTATATTCAATATGTTTTAAACAGAAATTTTGGAATCAGAATCCCACGGGAAATCCACACGAACGCTAAACGTTTCCATAATTATAGACGATAAGATACTTCAAGTCAGTTTGACTACACATCAAAGATTGACTGAATAATTCGCTAGTATCATAATTAGATCAGGGTCTGTAAATATAGGTCAAGAGAAATTAAAATAGTCACATTTGACCGCGAACTTTGTATAAACAAATAATAAACGTTTGCAATTTATCTGTTAGATTTATTAAGCCTTATCAGCACAGGCGATCGCCCTTACAAAGTCCCTCCCTCGCGAACAAAAAAAAACAATTAGTAATCAATGTGTTCTTCCAGACTACGTTCTAGCCAAATTTCAGCCAGATCTGTTCAGCCGTTCTGGAGATAGCTTGTAACAAACATCCATCCATCCATCCATCGAAAGCTTTCGGATTTATATTGGTGAGATTAGATGTAAAAGAGCACTGAGACCTGATGCAAGAGTACAGAGTTATAGTCAACAATTTTACTATAATATTTACATGTTATGTTTAAAAATAGGTACTTATACATTACTTTGCCAAAGTACATTGTTTTAAAAAATAAATAATTGCTTATCTATTTGTAGAGAATTATCTTATGAGCAAACACATATACAAACAGACGGACAGACGACCTTAGATATAAATAGTTTTCTATATATAGCTGGGCCCTTGGAGACGATTGTTCTTATGATAAATCAGATAAACATTCAGAGACGGTACGATATCTTTTACACATAATAATCCAAAAAAAAGTAAAATGCAAAGAGTCGAAAACTTATTTATCTTCGTTAAACATGTTTCGAAACAGCAGTTTTCACAACCAATATAATCAATTTAAAACAAGTTGTTTTCTCTGATCCTACAATCTTGCGAATATAAATGCCAATATTTGGATATCTGGATGGATGATTGTTAGAAGGTACACAATACGGCTGCATGGATTTCGCTGAAATTTGGCATAGATGTAGAACATAGTCTGGAAAATACATAGGTACTAATTTTTTTTAATTCCAGACGGACGGAGTTACAGGCAAAAGCTAGTAAAAAGTAAAGTCACATATTTTGAAAGTTTCACTATTACAAAGCGCAAAACAGTCTTTTTTATTGTTGAAAATCCGACACTGTGCCGGTGTACTGGCGCAACACTAGTCTTAATAAAATGTCCACGTTTATGTCCATCACTAATCATATTGACATTTGACTTAGTAACGAAACCGTGCCATTCGCGCCATTATTAGGTAGCGTGAGTAGACATTTAACTTGAGATGTTTTTTTTAATTTACCACCGTCAATCATAAAAATACATAATATAAATATATATTACATATCTACATGACTTAACAATGGTATTAACTGAACTTTACTTTGTATTAAATTTTATCTATAACCACTTTGAACCGGTTACCTAAAAGCGTTGCTTACCTCTGTTTGCATAATTTATTACTAAGTCCAAGTAATAAAAAGATTAACAAACCATATTCCAACATTCGTTTATTTGTAGTTTAATGTAGACATATTGTTGGGAGTAAATTAAACTTATTATGATACTATCACACTAATATTATAAATGCGAAAATTTTGATGGATGTTTGTTAGAAGGTATCTCCGGAACGGCTCAACGGATTTTGATGTTTTGCATAGATTTAGAACATAGTCTAGAAGAACACATAGGCTTCTAATTAAGTTTTTTTAATTCCGCGCGGACAGAGTCGCGGGCGATTGTATTTTGTTACTGTGCCCATTATGTTTGTGTCGTAGTAATGAAGAGGGGTCAGCGGTGGCATTGGCTGTCATGCGGGTTGACGGACAATTGAACAATTGATTGTAATTAGGAAATAGATTATCTTTGATAAACTATTCTCAATGTCAATATACAATATTTTCTAGGACGAATTAATTTATTACGTATAAAACCATGACCTTAAATTAAAACGAATTTTCAAATTAATAATTCTTAAAGTTGCGATGTTTCCTCACGAAGGTATATGAAATCGAAATGTAGGCAATGATAAGTTGGTGTTAAATGTGTGACTGACCTGATCGCGCAGGTCGGGCTCGCTGGCTGCGGCGGGAAGTGGCGCGGCATCAGGCTGCTCTGCGGACACATCGCCCGCACTAGCGCTCAACGCGCGACGCCGACCCTCAGCCTCGCCCTCCCGCTCCCGTGCCTTGTCTCCGCTACGAGATTCCTTGCCAGTCAATATGTTCTTCGTCTTGGACAGAATATTCAAAGGCTTCGACTTTCGGAACTAAAACATTGAATATTGATTTACACTATGGTATTAACAGAAGAAAAGAGACTTAATTACTCTAGTATTACCTTGCATTTAATGTTGCCGGGATGTAGAAATTTGCCGTCATCCTTGTCCGGTGGAGGTGGATCGCGCAGGCCTAGGACCAGCATATCGTCGAGCGAGGCTTGCAGGTGACGCCGGCGCGGCCGCGCCTCCTCGTGACTGCGCGAAGAATACACCGACACGGAGTCCGCACTCGCCGCACTCCTCCCCGAAACCACAGTGACATTCTCCACAGACTCATTGGAGTGGTAATCAGGAGGATGCCGCGTCCTATCCTCGTATATCTCCACCGAGTTAAATGTCTCAGCTACTCGGTCGATATCGTCCAACTCCTGAGGAACCAGCTCGTAGTGACCCTCGTTCTCTGTATACACCTGATCGTACACCACCCCATGGAAGCTTCGAGAACTCGACGGGAGATTCCCGTAAAGATTGTTGTAGTTGTAGGTGTCGTCATCGGTGCGCTGGCCCACGGGTCGAGGCAAGTCGTTCGCGTTTAGGATGACGTCGTCCAAATTCAATGGTCTCCCCTGACCGCCGAAGCCGTCCACTACGGGCGTCGTGTTTGAGAGGAAGGAGCCATCGTTGTCGAAGCTACTGCAGCCAACTAGTCCCATTGGGCGGCGCGGCATATCCTGCCGGAACCTGCTCGGCGGCGGCTGCTGCCCCGCGAACTCCACAACCAGTATTCTATCGGCAATATTTCGACAGTCATTATGGAACCCGATCCCGGAGTCGCTGTTACTAGAAGTCGTGGTCACTTCGCTGTGGTTGCTCGGTTGGGGGGAGTTCGCAACAAACTCTGGCACGTCTATTCTCTGATCTTCCTGTCTGCCCGGTCTCCTGTCCCGCTGCGCCCTAAACACCGGTCTGTTACATCTCGAAAAGTTTCCCAGAGCTGGACTATCTCCCTTCACGGCTAATTTCGATATTTGCTGTAAGTTAGGGCTTCCACAATCGTCAGGCGGCAAGGAGTACATGCCTCGTATGACGCCGACCACATATTCAGCAGACGGCGGAAATTCTAAGCATCTTTCGGCTACAGGATCTCTGGTACAGACGATTTGGAAGTCCCTCGCTCTATTGATATGCGCTTCATGTTCCGCCATCCTGGAATCGACAGCGAACACATGGCAGCTGTGAGATGCTTCTGTTTCTATACCAGAAATTTCCGCAGCAGTTACCAAGCCGAAGTAACGTCTGTCTGCTTCTGAGCCACATCCAGCGTAGACAATGCGTTCCCGGGTGTACTGAGCCAGTACTTGACCTGTCGGCCGTCGTAGAAGTAATGTGTTTGGGAGTACAGATAGCAAAACAGGTGTTGCAGGCCGACGTTCTTGCCGTAGCTTCTTGACTGCGTTACGTACATTGCTCGGTGCAGCCGCTGCGGTTGCTTGCGGTGTTTCTATTGTGCCTAGGTAGCCAACAACAGCACGACATTCTAAACGAGCCACATGATTCGGTGTGAGTTGAGCTCTGCTTAGATTTTGAAGAATCTCATTCACTCCAGATGTACTTGGTGCTGCATGACAACCTGGAATAAGTAGCAAACTATTTTAGTGTATTTGAATTGATGGTAACCTATCACAAAGGTATTTATATTGCTGTAAATAGACAACAACATATTTTTTAATTCTTATATTACATAAGAACACCTTATGATATAACAATTACATTGGTGAAGTATGGAAGCATAAATATATATTCAAATTAATGATAGAAAAGTTTTAAAACTATTACTAATTATGCTTGAATCATGCAAATGGGATCTCAATCAAATGAGGTTTATATATGAAGGTTATAATTTACAAGTAATAAAACATGCTACATAGAAAACAAACAACAAAAATTATTTTGTAATGTAGTGCATGTGTGTAATTATGTTTTATATTAAAATAATGGACATCAAACAAATGGAATGAAAGTAGCGGTGAGAACACACAGTGCACAATTTTATTTAATATTGCACATACCTAATATTTTCATCCTTACACTCATATATCTGCAAGAAATTTATTAATTTGTTTAATATATTACTCCATTTTACTAATATAATAAAACCTATAAATACCTTCCTTAAATAATATTTGTCTTGTACATACTTAACTAGAGAAAAAAATTAAGTTTATCATGACATTAATAATTTTTACCACCATCACCATAGGCAATATTCAAAGTACAATAAATATGTTTATTCAGCATATTAATAAAGCTTTTAAAATTACATTAAATTATCTTCAGACCCCAACACCACCATAGTATCAATTTTATATGAGTGCAGATGTATTGTTCCACAAAATAACTTGCCTGGATGATGCATCATAGCTTGCTGAGGCCTTCTCCGAGGCGGCGGATATCTCCTCCTAGTTCTTGCTCTCTCTTCGGGCTCCGTATCCTCAGTGTCTGTTGGTGCAGATTCTCTTAATGCAACGCTGAGTGATATGGCACCAGGCGCCGCGGCCACCATTCTAGCCACAGAAGCATGAGGAGCTCGAGCTACACTAGTACCGTCCACTGCAAGCAGCGCATCACCAGCCCGGAGTCCAGCTCTCTCTGCCGGACCTCCCGCAGCAACAGCCGACACTATACATGGTCTCTGACCGGCTATAGTAAAGCCAAACCCCCCAGAACCACGAGCTACGATAACACGACGCTCAGCAGTACGCACTAAAGCCGCCCTACGTCGTCTTCTTCGTTGTTGTTGAGGAACCATTTCAATCCCTTATTCCTTGATAACTAAAACACTATACAACGTTACAGTTCATTATAAAAACTGCCCAGTTGGTGTACCTTTAAACTAGAATAACTTAAGTAGGGTTTCAATATAAAAGAAACTAGAAAAACTAGAATTTAGAAGTACACAAGAAAGTTTCGAGGTCTTGTAACTGACGTTTAGAAAGTTTGATTGAGTGCATTTTGCGTTCAGTAAATAAAAGTTTTTAAACTATCTTAATCTTCTCTAAATGCAACATTATTTTATTTTATTAAATACAGTAATACAGAAGATTATATAATTTAGTCTTTCAAGTCTGAATATTTAAATTTTATACGTTTTAATTTAAATTTTGTAGTTGACACCAAAATCGATAACTTAAAAGTTGACTTAAAAGTGGCGTTGGCAGTAATTTCGCAAATTAAGTCTAAACAAAACTATATTTAAAAGAGGCATTTACAATTATTTCTATCAAAAATGTTTAATAAATGAAACATCGCTAAATAAAAATTTTGGCCAGCACGCAGCTTTTCAATCATTTGCCTTAAAAAGTCAGTATTCTTCGTTACTCTATATATCAACCACCGACAAACTTATTCCTTGCTGTCAATCTGTCAATGTCAATTTCAGCAATGTCAATGTGAATTTATCTTTCAAATCCACGTTGTTTTCATTTTTCATTGTTACTTTGAAACTAAAAACAGAATTAAAATTATCGTTTTATACGATATAAACGTTCAATTTACTAACGGATTCTTAAAATAAATATAAAATAATGGCTGTATGTATACCCTATTGTTTAAAATTATTGCCATCTTGGCCGATACTTAATATCATTAAACATTTTTCAGAAAAAGGGTAAAGCGAAGATTAGCAAAGTGAAGAGGAATAATCAGACGACAAATAAGATGCGAAAGCAGGGTAAGTTACGTCTTCAGAGGCATAGGAACAAACCACAGAAGCAAAAGCAACCGACACAGAACCAAGAGCCAATATACAGCAGCGACAGCGATGCAGCGTCCGGGGACGAGTGGGCGGACATGCTGGACGAAGAAGAACAGAAGTACATACTAGGCCGTATAGCTAAACAACCAAATCTTCTATCAAATGTACCAGAAGAAGATAAAAAGGAACAGAAGTAAGTTTCACTCTGTCTCTTTTCTTTAGTCATAATTTTAACATCTTACTAATAATATAAATGCAAATAGATGGATGAATAATTGAAGATATCTCTGGAAACGCTGCATGGATCTTTCTAAAAATTTGCATAGATTTAGAATAGTCTGGAAGAACACATAGATTACTTATTAAGTTTTTTTATTAATTTTGCGCCACCAGAGTCGCGGGCGACAGCTAGATTTATATAAAAATGACCATCAGTAGTTGTTGTTGTTCTAAACTTCATTAAGTTCTTTAACAATTAAGTTATTAACAGAAAACCTAAAAAGCGAAAGATAATGCGGGACAGTACATCAAATACTGCAGTGAGCAGTGACAGTGGTGCAGAGAGTGAGACAGATAACAGTGATGTTGAGGAAAAGTATGAGGCTGAGATGGCAGAAAGACCAGCCAAGAAACTACGACCACTCCTGCCTATTAAGACTAAAGATGGAATCTTGGAGAGATCTGAGGAATGTGAAGGTATGTAAATATCAAGTAAGAAAGCCTTGTAGAGGTACAAACTTTCTTAAGTAACAGGAGCTTGTAATCTTATACTTATCTGTTTGTTATAATAACAAAGCATCAGAAGTTACTTTGGTGGTCCCAACTTCGAGATAATATTGGCCTTCTTATAAAAAAAAAATGAAAATCAGACAACCAGGAGTGGAGTTTTGAAGTAGAGAGAAAAAGAGTTGAGTTGGAGTGGAGTGGAGTTATGAAGTAACAAAAAAAAATAGACTAATCTAGTCCTTTTTAAAGTCAGTTAAAAAGTAGCGCAGTGCATATGTTCCAAGTTAGTAATAATCTGATATGTCTAAAATAATATTTAAATAATGTCTTAAACCTTTTAGACACAGATTCAGATGAGGAACAACCAGATGAAGCACCAGAAACATCAGAAAGTATACTGGAAGAGTCTCAGGATTCGGATTCTGGTATGGAGGTTACTGGTGAAGAAGGCGAAGGGACTGAGGAAGTGGTAACAGCGGTGCAACTACTGGCTGCAAGAAGAGATAAACTGAAGCATGAGAAGCTAAGAATCGGAGCGCTCTGCTCATCCTTGCTTGAAAATCCGGAGAAAAAGGTTGTTGAATAAAAATATTATATGTGAAAATTCTACTAATAGTTAAAAATATTAACAACTACAGAGGGAGTAAAAACAAATAACAAATGAGTTCCGTTCCTTGGATATTTGCAATATTTTGTTAATTACTATAGTGTGAAGGGTGAAATTTAATTACACACTACTTTATTGATATAGTTTAGTCTAATTTTGTATTAAATTTAATTTTTCAGCTAAAGAATTTGTACCCAATCCTATACTTAATGGATGAGCACCTGAAAGATGGTACACCAAACTTAGTCTCAGTAAGGAAACTAGCCTCCGTGTCAGCTGCAGAGGTGTTCCGGGATATTCTGCCTGACTATGCTATACGCCATCAGGATTACTCTGATGTTAAATGTGAGTATTAATTTCATATTACAGCTTCTTAGAATCTTATATATATTCTACTCTCTTATTAATCTTTATCTTATCTTACTAATATTATCAATATGAATGTTTAGATTGATAGATGTTTGTTATGAGGTATCTTGGAAACCGTTCAACAGGTTTTAATGCAATTTGGCATAGATGTAGACTGTTGTCTGGAATGTTACATAGGCTACTAATTATTATATTTTTAACTCCGCGCGGAAGTCAACTAAGAGGGAGTCGCGCGAAACAGTTTTTTTTTTAATTTAGTAAAACGCTATAAATTTGCTTTTGTTGACAGTGAAAAAAGAGACATTAGCTCTGTACAAATATGAGAAAGAGTTGTTGGAGTTCTACAAGAGATATTTGCAGCGGCTGGAGAAAGCTGCATCTGTATTGAGACGGAAGAAGGGTGATAACAGGTGCGTAGCAATCTCACATTGAAAAAAGTAAAAAAAATATTAAGTAAGGGCTAATAGTGGAACTAGACATACAGTTTTAATAACTAATTATAAAGTATAATTCATATTTCGTATATTAAATAGCGTATAGTAACAAAACAATTTACGAAAAAGAAATATTTATCATTTAAAAAAGAAACTAAAGTTTATCACAAACTAATTTATTGTCATCAACTGTTAAAAATGTCAGTCTATAAAACCTCTTTGCCTAATTGCCATTAAAAAAACGAAAAAAATCCTCCACCATAGGCAAGTAGAGGATAGCGAGGTGAATTTGGCGCTAGTGAGCCTGCGTTGCCTGTGCGCGCTGCTGGAGGCGCGGCCGCAATTCAACTACGCGGGCAACATCGCGCAGAGCGTGCTGCCATTCCTCGCCTGCAGCGCTGAAGCGCGGGATGCCGTCACTCAGTGCTGCAAGCAGGTCTTCACTGATGATAATAAGGGAGAAATTACACTTAAGGTATGTAGGTTTATAAAAAACTGGATTAGCAAGGCACAAAAGTAATAAGATTGAATGTGGATGGCTACAAAGGTAAAGGAAAAACAAAGAAGGTATGGATGGATTGTATGAGAGAGGATAGAGGAAGGGGGTAGATTAAGATATGATGGCTGATACAGATGTATGGAGTATGTATACTGTGCCGACCCTCAATGTAAGGGCAGGTTGATGAACTATTTAGGTTATATTTGATGTGTGTTTGAATGTAAATTCATGTTAGGTTCTAGATTCTAAACGACTGAACTGATTTTGACTAGTAAGGTGAGTTAAGGACTAGTGTCATAGTTTTTTTTTTTGTTTCTAAGTGACACATCATGTCTGAACAATTTGACCATACATTTCAGATCGTCCGCTTAATTAATCAGCTGGTGAAGAAGCGTGGTACTCGTCTGCATCCTGGCGCGCTCGAGTGCCTCCTGGCGCTGCGCATCCGCGACGTAGACCTGGACGCAGACGCAGACCTCAAGCATAAGAAGCGGCAAGAAGAGAAGCACAAGAAAAGGATCGTCAACTTGTCCAAGAAGGAAAAAAAGGTCTGCTATGACTAATGCACTTAAAACCGGTTATAATGACATTGCTAATGATAAGTCACAATAACGGATTTTTTTATCACGTACTAGTTGTCGCACGCGACTCCGTCGGCGCAAAGTTTAAAAAACAACTTGAGTAATCCATCCATCCATTCTTCTAAACATTCGCATTTTTAATATTATTAAGATTGTATATTTTGTTATATATAAGAAAACTACAATAAAGAATAATATGTTTGTTTAGTAAATAAAATATTTCTCACAGCGAGCAAAGAAATTGAAAGAAGTTGAGCGAGAACTTCTAGAAACTGAGGCGCGGGAGAGCTCTGAGGCACGCAAGAAGCAGCTGACAGAAGTCACAAAGACCGTCTTCCATATATACTTCCGTATACTGAAGACAGCGCCAAAGTCACAACTACTGGAAGCAGTGCTCAACGGACTCGCTAAGTTAGTATACGTAGTCTATTTTACTAAAAACGACTGTATTTTATCTTTATTTTAAAGTTTCGTCTCAAAATCATTTGACGTCATTGATTTACGAGGATTTGACAGTAGGAAAATATGTAAACTGACAATGTCATCTTGACAGCGTCATATTTTGACCAATAATTAAGCGGCATCTGCACGGATTAATGTTGCCATTTTCATTATTTCGAAACTCCATAAAAATTCACGCATAATGTCCGACATTAATTTGCTAGTGTGAAATAAATAATAAGAAATTAGTAAGAAAACTCCAAGTCATAAGTCATAACACGCTCTGCTGTCACTGTCAAAATACTGTCATGTTGCTACTTGACAATTGAGTTGTATTTTTCACAAGTACAGTAATAATTTATTGTCAGGTTCTCGCACGTGATCAACGTGGAGTACTACAGCGAGCTGGTGTCGCTGCTGGCACGGCTGTGTAGTGATGAGGAACTGGGCGCGCGCGCGCGGCTGCAGTGCGCACGCACCGCGCTCGCCGTGCTTGCAGCCGCGGGGGACGCTCTCAACTTTGACCCTGCTCACTTCCACGCGCACGTATACGCTAATGCAATCAATGTGCACGCAGGTATTATAATAGTATTATAACTAATTGTATTCTGCATAAAAATTTATAATATTGACTCAAAAACTACGTATCTATAATATGTAGTTTTTGAGTTTATTACTTTTAAGCATATAAATAAGTATTTTTGTAAGACTAATAGTATGTTTTTCTTGTTTTTTTTTTGTGCTTATCTTTCTTAAATAGTTAGGAACTCAACCTAATAATGTTTTAGATTCAATAGAAATTGTTAGATTAAATTTGTAGACATAAGTTCAAGTAGTATTGTGTGTGTGTCAGGCAGCACGTGCGGGGAGGGGCGCGTGGTGCTGGAGGCGGTGTGCGAGGTGAGCACGCGGGCACGACGCGTGTCCCCCGCGGTGGTGCGCGCGCTGGCCAAGCGGCTGGGCACGCTGGCGCTGCAGACCGCGCCGCACGCCGCACTCGCCGCGCTGCACCTCGTACATAACCTCATGCAGGTACATATATAGACAAATACTTTGTTCTACATAAAAGTACGTAATATATTAACTTTTATATAATTGCGTTTTTTGTGGGTTTCTTTGTTTTTATGGAAGTGTTTTTGTAGTGAACTTTTATGGATAGAAAACTTCGCTTCTGCTTGTTCGATTTTCATAATTTTATCTGACTGTATATTTTAAGTCAAGACAAGATATATAAAGGTTTTTCGCTAATCCAAGTTGATCTACATATTTTAGTGTTAATAATATTGTCTATGCTTTACAGAGTAGCAGCAGCTTGCAGTCTCTGCTGGAGACGGAGGAGGCGGCGGGGGGAGGGCGGTACGACGCGCAGTGCGGTGCGCCTGCGCAGTGCGGGGCGCAGTGCGCAGTGCTGCACGACCTGCCCGCACTGCGCAGACACTACCACCCCGCTGTGAGACAGGCTGCTGCCGCACTGCTAGCACGTACTGCACCCTTCCACAAGTATGGACATACACACCAATACTTATATTTGAATCATTTACCGTAAGTTTCCGAGAACAAAATCACCTTTTAAAACATTGTATTTCCTTTTTGCCAAGATGGGCTGGGATGATATGTTTTATAGATTGATTTTGGTCTCAGAAAGGAACGGTTAGTATTCTAATAATAATAAGCACCGTATTTAGAATAAATTATAATGACTTAGACGCATAAATACATAACAATAATTTTTTTTTAATTTCGCAGAAATGGTTATAAAACAAATGTTCTCAAATGTAGTTTCATCTGCACACAATAAAATATAATATTGAAAACGATACAAAATATGTTATTTTCTAACCGAAAGACTAACTTAAAATTTATTAAAGGTTATTATTGAAGCCATTTAATATAGATTTACGTAAACATCTACATTAATTTAATTATATTAAGTAATTAATTTTGCAGAAGTCCAATGCAAATATACGAGGAGTACGATGGCTCTCAGATGTCGTTCAAGCCGGCAATACCGCCGCCGCAGCGCGACCAGCTCGCCGCACACAGCAAGAAGACCGCGCAACATGTCTGGGCACAGCAACACTTCAAACAACATTGTCATATTGTTGAAGATAATGTGCAAATGAATATTTGTTTTACTTGAGTATTACAAGTACTTTGACGTGTTGAACTGTGCTTTATTTATGCATACGTTAAATTCGCCAAAATAGCGAAGCAACCGCTGCCCATAGTACAATGTGTTGCCAACCTTTAAAAGACTAAGGGAAGCACACAAAGAGAATATTTCCCCTTTCTATGCATCTCCTCCGTTAAATCCCCCCATTCTTTATAAGGATGGACAGGTAAAGATTAACATTAGGCCTTCAGAACGCACACTCATCAGATAAAACCAGGTTAATTGAAGACATACAACCGTCTTGCAATCCAATAAAAAAAGTTTTTATTTAAAATAATTTTAATTCAATTATTACAAGTATATTAATTACAATATAATAGCATCATCTTTATTAAAAAAACTGGCTTAATTCTATCCACAAACTGAACATAATCAAATTTAAAAGATTATACCAACTTAATATGGAACAAACTCTTGTCTTGTCTCTGGTTCTGAACTACGTGGGTTGAAATCATTGCGGCAGTTTGTCGTTCAGCAGTCGTATGTTGTGCAGCAGGAGCTGAGCGCGGCGTCGTGTCGCCTCCTCCAGCGCGTGCTGCACCTCCGTGCGCTTGCTCACCACGTACTCCTGCAGGGACGACAGCTTGCTGCGCCATCTGCATCATAAATATAAATAAACAAATAGACTAACGAAAAAATACTATATTATTAATTTTCATGAGAATATGTACTTTGGAATGACCACCGATTTAAAAAAATCATTATCAGCTCAATATGTCCCTACTAAAGGTTTTGGAACCTGCACAGTTGTCCACTTGCCTAGTGAGGTTTTGTTAAGAAGTATTTTACGCTAGAATTTCCTACCATAAAATGAAGTTGTCATTAACATCTAGTTCAAAAAAAGTACTAACTCGACATCCTGCTGCTGCCAGAACTGCAGCTCTGTGTCTGCGTGCTTGTGCTGTGCCTGTGCCTCCTGCAGCCCCGCCGCCTGCTCCCGCAGCGCCGCCAGCTCGGCCGCCGCGCCTGCAGCCTCCGCCCTCTCCTTCTCCATCTCCTCCTCCAGTGCCCTCTGCTCGCACTCTATCTGCGCGTTCAGCTCCTCTATCTTAGCGCGAGTCAGTTCCTGCAATTATTTTGCTAAGTTGTACAAAAACATACATAAACGTTGACAGGAGTAACTAATAATCGCCGCGACTCCGTTCGCTCAAAATTTAAAAAGTAATTAATAATTATAAAGCCTATTTTTTCTTTCAGACTATATTTGACATTTGTGGCATTTTTAGAATGTCTCTCTGGATCTTATTGAGACGTTCTATAACTTTTAACAAACATCCATCCAAATACTCAAGTATAACATTAGTAAGAAGTAATATAATCAGTCAAATAATATATTGTGTACAGACAAGTTGTCTCTGCGCGTGTCGCTTGTTGGCTGCGCGTGCGGCGGTGCGCTGAGCGCGCTCGCGGCCCAGCTCCGCCGCGCGCTCCTTCAGCACGCACACGCACGACGATATCTTCTCTGCGCACGACGCGCTCATCAGCTCGCTGCAAACAAACATTATATTACTTAGACAACTCTATTTGTGATTTAGTACATAAAATATTGTATGACAAAGTTGATATATGTCTTGCAATGTATTTTAAAATTACTCCGAGATTTACTTATTTACACAATAATCAATACATAAAAATAGCAAATTAATTCTCTTTGTGTAGTTATGGTTCTGTACAAGTAAACAATTATCCAACTTCTCATCTATAGTGTATGCGGCGAGGTCGGGGCAGTGCGGCGCGAGATGTATGAGCGCCTGCTTGTACTGCACGCAGCTGTCCAATGTACGCTTCTGCCATCCCGCCAGCTCCGTCTCCTTGCTCACCAACATCTACACTCAAACACACACACGCATAAATATATTATCTATTTTTTATATTATTAGATGGCAAATGAAAAAGCGGCCGCCTAAATGGCGAATCAATCGCTGCCCACAGACCGTGGACATCTACAGTTGTTGTTTATGAGTTGGATATGAGTTGCCTGCCTTAAATCGACAGAGGAGTGGACGCACAGAAAGAGAATATTTCCCATTCTTACGTCTCCTCTGTCAAATCCATCACCCCTTCCCATCATTCTATAAGAAACTGGTGGAAAGGGAAAGATGACTAGGCTCAAACATTAGAGATATTAAACCAGATACCTTAGTGATGTGTTCCGCGAGTGCAGTCTTGGAGTCGTGCACACGGAATGCATAGTCGACCTGCTCCAGCAGCTGAGCGCGCTCCGACACTGACATGCTCTGCGCTGACACCTCCTCGCTCAGACGCTGGCTCTCCGCACTAACATGGTACATGGTAATTTATCATTATAGCCAATAACATATGTAGCTAGTAATATTTTTTTTTATCGGAAAAGGGGGTAAACAAGCCTCTGATTGCATAAAATTATTTGATCTTACGTCCATGGTTCTCTATAAAGCAAGAGGAACTGCAGATGCGTTGTCGGCCTTTAAGCGATGTGTACGCTATTATATGCACTAATTATACTTATTGCAAATGTTAGATGGATGAATGAATTTGTTAGAAGGTATCATCAAAACGGCTGAAATCATCACAATGAAATTTGGCATAAACATAGAACAAAGTCTGGAAGAGAACATAGGCTATTAATTAGGTATTTTATTTAATTCTGTATGTTCTAATATGTTTATATATTTCAATATAATTTTAAATGTACTAACAGTGCGCGCTCAACCTCAGCGTCGATGTCAGTGAGTGCGGCGAGCAGGCGATGCGCGGCGGCGCGGCCCTCGTCAGCTGCGTTGGCGGCGTGCAGCGCGCCCGCACGCTCGGCACGCACCGCACCGCGCAGCGAGCCCACGCGCTCCTCGCGCCGGCACACGTCTGCCCGAGCAGCCGCCTCCGTCTCGTCCTCCAGCGAGCTCTCCTGTTCTGCAAGTGTCACAACAGAATATCTAGCAAGCTTCGCGATATCATAATCTTAATAAGTAGTCTATGTTTTCTTCCAAACTATGTTCTACATCTATGACAAATATCAGAGAGATCCATGTACAAGTTCTGGAGATATCTTCTAACAAACATACATCAAAAATATTCGCATTTATAATTTGCTTACTGTGGCCCGTGGCTCCGTCCGCGTTAAATATTAAAAAAAATCTTAATTAGTAACCTATGTGTTATTCCAGACTATGTTCTACATCTATGCCATATTTCATCAAAATCCATAGACAAGTTCTAGAGATGCCTTTTAACAAACATATAACCATCTAACCATTCTTATTTATATTAGTAAGATGAGGAGAAAAACTGCCTTTTGCTATTGATATAAGCATGATCAAGAATGGAAATATAGATAAATAAGGCTATCTTAACCGATGGATATACATCAAACTAAATTATATCAGATCACTAGCGCCCTCAACAAACGTAAAAAGAGACAAGTTTCTTGAAGTACAAGATCTTTATATTATATTTATATTGTATTAATGATTGTTTTACTTACTCTTTACTGTTCTTTCTAACTCTTGTATCTTCTCATCATCATTACCAAGAAGTATTTTTAGATTCTGTAAATATTCCTCGGCTAAATCATCAAACTGATACTCCGGCATCTGGAACCTGGAAGTCAACAATTTTTTTATAAACATGATTCTTCAAAATAAAAATGAAAAGAGCAAAAATATAGCAATAGTTACCTTTGCCAGCTACGGAAAATAAAATCTTGTTTGAGTCGGGCAAAATCATCTTTAGCTAGATATATCAACTCTTCCTCTATTGGACTTTCCTAGAATATACAAAAAATAATTATAACGCAATTTCTCAGTCTTTAAGTGTTTACAAAGATTAATAAACAATTTACAAGAGATTAAATACTGAAATATTTGTGTGGTTTCCAAATTTTAATTTCCTTTTTCACTACCAAGTCTAACAATACTCGTACATCCGTGGAGGAGTCGCACTAGTGGAAATAGATTAAGACTCATTTCCACTAAAATGAATAAACATAACTAGACATGTTTAAATCAGTTCTGAACTGTGGCTCAACAATTAAATTTGCAACTCAGCTCATCGCTATGTATTATTATTATGTTAACCAAAAAGACACAAGCTACCAGGTGACTCACAGCTTGAAACTCAAATCATAACTCTGTATAGGTACTAATTGAAGTGAGCTGGAACACATGTGGACCATGAACTGATCTACAGGTCATCACGACTAATATGTATAGAGTTAGTATGTATGTATGTACTGACACAGAAATGTATAAGGTCGAGGAGGTATGCGATGAGGGCGAGGGCGTGCGGGAAGGCGTGCAGCGTGTTCACAGTGCGCAGCCAGGACTTGGACACCGTGCCCGGGTACAGCAGACGCTTTGTTATGTGCGGCAACTGAAAAACACATTATATTACATCTTACTTATATTATAAATGCTATAGTTTTGATGAATGGCTTAGTGTTTGTTACACCATATCTCCAGTTCAACGGATCTTGATGAAATTAGCAGTCTGGAAGAACACATTTCCATCTTACTAAGTTTGTTTTTAGTTTTCGCGGACTGAGTCACGGGCGGCAATTAGTAATATAATACAAATAATATCCTCATCTAAAAGTAACACATCTAGAATATTTTACTCACAGAAGATATCTGTGGGCAGCAATTGATTCCCTACTCTGATGATGTGTCACATACTACTATTAAGAAAAAAAACCTGTCGTACCCTGGTGACATAGTTGTCAGTGTTAAGCGTGGGGTTGGTATAAAGCGCTCCGAGCAAGTCAGCTACTATGTCCACAAAGCGTGCGATGGTGAGCGGTCGCAGCAGCGCCAGCGATTTGCCGCCGTCGGCCGCACGCAACGCTAGGGCTTCGCCCACGCGAGCCGCTGCTGCCCGCTGCCAGCCCGCGTTTGATAGCGGCCTACACAAATTCAGTTGGATATCATTGGATGTGAACTTAAGTACTCTGCTAGTCAGGATTAATGAGAATTGTCACCAATCTATGTTATTTACAGAATACTATTTAAATTTCTAATACATTTCCTTACTTAAAACTATTTAAGCTAAATTTACTTAAGGATAATTTAGCTAATCTTTGTGATCTTAACTGAAGAATTAAATTAGAATTAAGAATGTGAAAAATACACACCTCTGATCCTTCACTGTGACAAATGCTAAAACACGATCTAGCGCTTGCTCCCAGCTGCGGCCTGAGGATTCATCTCCTCCTGTTCTCTACAAAAAACACCAAAAATGAGACTATAAACATATTCTATACAAAGTGTTACTATAAAATGCTTTTTTTTTAATCTTATAGTTCATATCTGAATTTAAGGGAGTCAAACATAAAAGTTCTATTCTAGATAATTGTTTCAAGACAATCTATTTCTATAGATGATATTCTTACCCTGGGTGTGGTAGTCAAATTGTGACTATAACGCAATGGTGTCACTCCATGCTTCAATTCACTTGCTGGTAATCTGAATTCCTGTAAATGTTATGTTTAATATTACAAAAAGGTTTAACATGTTGTAAACAGGAACTGAAAAGCATATTGTACATCTTTTTAAATCCAAAACAAGACAAGAAAAGGGCAAACTTATTAAGTCACTGTTGCTATTAGAAATGGATTATGAACAAATCAGTAAATTACTTAAGTATCAGGCTTTTAACAAAAATATTACCAAAGGTGTGTTAGTTGTTCGTGCATTATGATTTGAGTGCAATGGTGTTGACATGTAGTGGCTGCCTCCATATCTCATTTCACTTTGCTGCGATTTAGACCTCTGAAATGTTAACATTCCTATCATTACAGATTGTTATCATTGGTTAAACATGGTTTGTGTAGTAAATAAGCATTATCAAAGAAACATTCTCTCTTAAGTTGTTTTGAAAGCTGGCAAGTCACAATCAATTCAGTCTTATATTTCGTAATTGAACTTACTGAACTACTAGGAGGTAAGTTTGTAGCCGAAGGTTCTCTGCTTAGGCGACCACCAAATGTAGCCCTAGGAGGCTCCGCACTGCTGGAACGATGACCCGCTCCACTCGGCCGGCGAATCTCGGGCTCCGTCGAACCAGTCCGCCGCGGTTTTGGTAACAATGACGGCTTGCCTTCCAATCTTCAAATAATCATAGTTATTGTAATTATTTCTCTTTAAGATTTTTTGTTTATGTACATTTTTGTGATTCTTGCACTCATTTACCTCGATTTGCGACTTGCTGATTGCGGACCAGCCACATATCTTGTTGAATACATCTTAATTTTCAAAATCAAAATTATAAGAAGAGTTAGAAAATTAAGAATAATTAATTTTTTTTCTTATTTAAGACTTTTAAAACTCAATACAAACGTTAATTTCAAATCTTCATAATATTTCAAATTGCTAACTGAAAAAATATACTCGCAGCTATGGTCTATCTCAAAGATTATAAAATGTAAAATACTTTACTTTATGGTTTACATCAACCAATAGGAAAATTTGCCCCCAAAATGAAAGTTAACAATTAAAATACGCGGCAAATTTAAAAACTAAAAGGTTTAAAAGTTAACATAATGCATTTTAAAACCAAAAGAAACGATACTGACTGTTGTATTATATATTAGTAGTTTAATTATTTAATTTTTATTACTTATAAAACTTATTACTTTTCTCGCTTCAAAGTCCTTTAATGTGTTTTACTTTCATTACATATAATACTTTGCACATCTTGTACTAATTTGGGAAATGTTGGATCTACAAGGCAGAGTCGAACGAAATTTTTAAACGATGGCGGTAAATCTGAGATCACATTTGTAGGCTCTGTAAAAAAGACAATGTTTTGACGTGTAGCCAATTATAGTTTTTAAGTAAAGAGCTCGAGGTTTTATGTTTCCCTTTTGATGACTTTATTTCTCAATGTTATCAATTATATTAAGAACCAACATGATTATAAAGGGAGACTCGTACAATATTCCGAGTCCAATTAAAGTTTAGGTATACCCTATACAACAAATTAACTTACCTTTTGTTTTCAAAACGTAGGAAATTACATCGTCGACATTTAAATAACGGGGTGTAATAATATCGCTAGGCTGAATAGAGTTGTGATTAATAACAGGAAAATATTTATTGAGTTCCTGGTAACAGTGACTCGGATTAATTTTTACTTGAAACTTTATTTTACGTAACTAAAAACAAAAAAGAAATAACAATAGTATTTAAGAAAAAAATTGTATAATGAACATTTTTAAAGGAACCTACTTCTTTAGGGGCTCGACTGATGAATAAAATCAAAGCGTTGTCTTTGTAAACTCCTTTAATTTTATTACTCATGCTTATTGATTCTACGATTTCAGTAGTTGAAGTAATCAGCAATTGATCACAGTGAATTCGCAATACTAAATTCACCTGTGCGGGACCACACTTCTTCCAGCTATTGGCCGTCCATAACATTAATTTATCAATTGCTGTAATAAAATAATCCTATTAAATATTTACTTTACGAAACGTCGATAATTAATATTTAAATGTACCTACGAATCATTGTTAATGATATGAGAAAAAAGTGTTTTGAATATTAATATCTAATAAAACATTTTAAAATAATTAAATTTTTTAAATTAAGAACGGAATTAAAGGTAAAATTTTATTCTTTTAATCTTTATGTAAGGTATAAAAATATTGGAGCACACGGCCTCTTCACATCAGTACAATAATTTTGAAAGATTAATTAGAGCAAATAAGGGCATGGAGGTAAGTTTGTCTTGGCATTTAAGGTTTTGATAGAAACAATATATATGTTTACATGTACTTTGCAATATTTTCTTAATAAATATGTTTTAGAGGTAGACGACAAACATAAGATTCGTGTTTATAAACGTATGCGGTTTGTCAATATCAGTTCTTTTGGCAATCAATTTCTGTCACTGACATTAATTCATGTGTCAATTTGTGTGATGGTGGGATGTGTATCGTTTCTTTTTTTGTAACTTATAAACATTACAATAAAAAACCAAGATAATTAAAGTAAAGTAACTAATATAGAAAATTTTTTAATTCATACTAATGGCAGGAACATATTATTTTGTTATTGTAGGTCATTCCGATAATCCGATATTTGAAATGGATTTCATACCCATTACCAAAGAAGTGAAGGTGCGATGAATAAAAAATATAATTTAGATATTTATGCCTTCCCATATCATATATTAATTATTACCTCTGAAACATATTTATTAAAAAGAGAAAAATATATATTCAACTTCAATTTGAAAATTTTGTAGAAAGAAGACAACAGGCATCTCAATCAATTCATAGCGCATGCAGCGCTCGATCTGGTGGATGAGCACATGTGGAAAGTTACCAACACATATCTCAAGTCAGTGGATAAGTTCAACCAGTGGTTTGTGTCTGCTTTTGTGACAGCCAGCCAGGTAAACATTTTGGATTTAAAATGTCTACTAATATAAGTTATCAAAGATAAAAGTTTTATTATTTCAACATTTATCTATTACAATATTTGGTAATTTTTTATCTGTATTATCCTTACTCAACATTATAATTAAAATAAATTATATGTTTAGTTAAAACTAAAAATTATATTTTAAAATATAAGTGAGGCAGATCAATTGTTAATACATGCATATATTTATTTCTAGATGAGGTTTGTGATGGTGCATGATGCTCGTAATGAAGATGGTATCAAAAACTTTTTCAATGATGTGTATGAAGCATACATCAAGCTTATGTTAAATCCCTTCTACAAAGAAGACACACCAATAACATTCCCCGCATTTGAGAAAAAAGTACAATTTCTCGGAAAGAAATTTTTAACATAATAACTAAGATCTAGCTTTGAATTAATTATGTAAATATGTAAATCAATGTATGTGAAAGAAGTATATAAGGTAATTTTCATTGTTAGTTTCAACCGGAATAGAGTATCAAGGAACTAGAAATGTAAGTATATTTTTCAATAGGTAAATATTAGGACACAAGTGCTACTAGAATTATGATGAGCTTGTGTTCAATAAACTGTGTTAAATTTGCTACTGATTAATTTAAATTATAACATTTATAAGATATAATTTGTAAGTAATGTAAATAAAGATTATTTTATTGTTTATTTATTTTTTTAACTATTGAACACATTTAGCCTGCAAAACTTTTTAGTCTCCAAGTGAGCTGTTGTAAATGTACCAATAATAAATGCAGATGAACTTGGATAGACATGAGTCCAAGTATTTCTCACTTATAAAGCCTTCTCTCTGTCTTGTCTATCAGGACGAGTATCTCTTAGGAGTCTTCACGCTTATTAGGTTAAGACGTTAGCTGCCATGTCATGACGCTTTTGAATCGAATTGTTGTAAACAGCGTGACCCGCAAAGCCCTATAAAGCTTGAAAAATATTTTTATAGTTTTAATAGTGTTGAAAAATACTCCATTCAGGCCGTGTCGGAATATATGTTTGATGAATTGTAAATAAATAATTTTGGACATAATTAAAAAAAAAATTCGTTCGAAAAATCATTCTGGCAGCTAACATGTTAACTGTAGATGGAATGAAGTGTCTTACAATAAGTAATATAATAAAACAATTATAAATGTGACAAAATATATTAAGAAAAGAAAACCTTACAGGCTACAGATGCATTAATTTACACAAAACAATTTTTTCACTATAAACCATTATTAGGCGGAATTAAATGTCTTTGAAATATCTCATACAAAGATTTCCCAAAGAATTTTGCATGTTCTGTTGTTTCATTCGGGAAATTATTAATAATAGTTAATAGAGTTCTGGCAAACCTAGGTCATCGTTATCAGGGATACTACCACAGGAAAAGTCATCTGAAAAAAAATTGTCTTATTATTGTCACAGATCAACAGAAATATAACTACCCTCCTATCAAGTTAATTCACATTTTATAAAATTAGAATATCTTAATTTTAAGATAGAAAGTAAGATTTCTTACTTCTTAGTAATTATAAATGTGAATGTTTAGATGGATGGAATGTTTGCTTGTAGGTATCTTTGGAATGGCTCAACAGATCTCGCTGAAATTTGGCATACATGTAGAGAATAGTCTAGACAAACACATAGACTACTAATTAGTTTTTTTTCAATTCCGTGCGGACCAAGTCTCTTTATAACTTTTGTAACTGTATCAACACATTAAATGCCTAGAAATAATCTGCAGAGTTAATTTTTATACATAGGGTAGACTGGCATTACATGACTTGTTATGCCAGTCTACCCTCCTAGTTATTAGTACATATTTATTCTTACCTGTAAAGAACTCATCCTGATATGAGCAGTCCAGTTCCATGGAATATTGCCTCATGTTTGGTGGTGGGGTAGATGGAGGGGATATATGATGCACTACCTCCACATTGGGTAGAGGTAGATAGTCAAACATATCCTTATGGAAATTATCTACAACAGAAATTAGAAAGGATCATTCTCTAATGCTATTCTATGGGATGATTGCAAACTTTTCATCCTCCAAATCAATCTAAGTTTGCAATTTCTTTTTAATTATAAGTTCAGTACACTTTCGATTTTATTAGAGTAGTCTATGAAAATAAATTATTTGCACAGCTCATACTGAAAATCTATAAAATAATTTATGGATTCTAATGCAAAAATTAAAAAAAAAACAGTTAAATTTGTTTCTTTTATAAACCTGTGCATCTTCCCTGCCTATGTGTCTATCAACACACATAAAAATTTAAATAAACCATATTTGATTGAATATTAATAATCAATACATACCATAGTTATATGATGGCTTCGTGAACTCTAATTCTTCATATGAAAAGTCTATTCCACTTTCATTGTTATCATCTGTGTATATCATTGCCCCAACGTTTACAGCTTTCGGTGACAATGGTTTTCGCACCGGTGTACTTTGAACAGCTTTACCGGAGTTTAACAGAAATGATTTTTTAGTTTCTCCAACTTTTTTAACAGGTTCATTAGGTTTGTATGGTCCATTTGATACAGTTTTTCCTATGTTCTCTATTTAAAAACAAATTTTAAATTAAAACATCATTATTAGTAAGTTAAGTACGATAATGATAAAGTTCTGTCAAGTGGTTTCTTTGTAGGTATTAAAAGATTTAATCGTTACTTACATCGAAATCAGCCTAACTTTACAATTAGTTAACACGACACTAGATTTTTAAATAAAACAAATTTAAAATGATAAAATTTACATACCGTTGTTTGAAAAAGGTTGGCGAAGTAGGTTTTTGCTTGTTTGCCTGGTGATATGATCTCCAAATATATCAAACAAGGATTCAGCCATATCTTATAAAAACAGGTGATAAAACTTAAGTGCTATTAGTATCTTCAAAAATTATAAGTAAATATTTAACAAATAGCAGTCGTTGTTGTTTCGTTGTATTATAATTTGAATTCAAATTGTTTGAAATATTACGTTCCTTAATTTTATAACCGACTTTTAAGAACTAAAATGTTGCCAACATAAATCAGCATTCTGAGCTCACAGAGAATATATCAAACACATTTATATATAAGAAACATTTTAGATACTCTTTGGTGGTGACATTTCGTGTAGGTAGACCATATACTCTTTGATTTAGGTTTTCAATACAAAAGAAAGCTACTGAAAAAGACTTGTAAATTTTACACATTTGGTAGATTTATGGCAGTTAAATTTGTGACAGATCATTAATTTTATTTAGGGCACCTTAAACTTGTATTTCAAAAATAAAATATAGCAACATATTTATCATGTTATATAGTCTAAAAACTAAATTGTTCTAACTTAAAAAATCAAATTATATTTAAATTATGCTATCATTAAAAATATAAACAATTTTTTGATACGTTTTTCGTTGTATCATCATTGCGTTACGTATAATATTACGTAGTCAAAAAATTGACAAGTTATTGAGTAATTGCTTGAAAAAAATTATTAAAATTTGACCATTAAATTAAGATTTAAATCCATTAAAGCATTTAAATGGAGCAAGTATTTACGTATTTTATTAATTAAGAAAATGTTTAGCAAATAATCATAAAATTGGATCTGGAAATAACCAGAGAAATAATTGAAAATTAAACATAATTAAAAAATACATATTATTTACGTTGTTCAAAAAACGTCTAATTTCATTAATTAAATTACATAAAACTAATATATGTACTGAATTTTGCACTTTTCATGCTAATCGCGTGCACACAATTCCTGGACATTATCATGTTCAAGCTATTATTTAAAATTAAAAAAAATTGAAATAGAAAAAACATGGCAGTGACACGTAGTTAGACTTAAATGGCGTTTGCATTGACTTCTTTTTCTTCAACACTGTAAAGAGGTCCATAAAAATATGAAACCTCCTTGGATGAGATGCTACGTGTTTGCGTGCATTAAATTCATGATATGAATGTGTCCGGGATGATCAACTGTTACAAAACAAGAAAACTTCTCGTCACAACAAATTTTCTTCGCATTCACATTATTTAGGTTTTCCCGGCAAAAGTGAATAATATTTGCATTTCGCGATTCTGACTTCATCTTTGCAAAACAAGTTTCAACTTTATGACCAAGCTTTTTACAGAAACTACACCGTTCAGATTTTGCTGTATTTTGAAGAGAATGACTTTTCCGATCGCTATTAGTATTAGTGTCGTTACTTGTTGCTATCTTAGGTCTTTTAAAACAATTTGACTGTTTATGCCCTTGCTTACCACATATAAAACATTTACCGGACTCGAACCGCCGTTTGCGATCGTATACCCCATGTCTATTGTTAAACGAACGATCATGACGCAACCCACTTGAGTTTTTGTTATTATAGAATGAGGGGCATTAGACTTGACATAAATAGAAAGGAACTGTACTAACTCATTTGGCATTAATTTGGCGTTGGTAGCAGATGCGCGGATCTGCGGATCTGTGATGCCCCGTATAACTATTGCCGATATCAGCTCATCGCTTAACCCCCTAATGATTCGTAATCGTAAAAGGGACCTACGAGCATAATCAGCGTATGTAAGGAAGCTATCAGAATTGGTGCTCATAACCTCGTACAGAATGTTGGCTATGTCTGTTTTTTTGGACATAAAGGCTTAAATTCGTTTTTAAAATTACTCCAACTGCGGTCATTCGTTACCCATTCACTGAGCCACGTTTTAGTATCTCCTTGTAGACAATTGCCAATGCGTGAAAGACATTCGTGATCACTCCAATTATTAGAAGACCTAGCACGGTCTACTTCTTCACACCATGTCTCTATGTCATTAACACTCGGATAAAAATTAGAAATATAATAAGACTGGTTAGATCTCACCGGTATATTTATGGATCGTATCGCATCGATGATGCGATCGGCGGCGCTGGCCTGGACTGACGTAGCGCTCGCGGGACGTTCCGGTGAGGACGGAGTCGTTGAAGCCTGAAGCGAGCTCGCAGTCACAGCTTCGCCCAACTGCGATGGCGGCGGTATCGACACGGCAGGCTCAACGGCAGGAACGGGCTCGGCGCTGATGGTTGCCACAGGGACCGCGGACTTGGCTACTTCCACTGCAGCGCGGCCACTCGACTCCTTTCGTTGAGATGAAGACACTACCTGTTGTTCCTCTAATGACACCAATCTATTCAAAATTTGTTGCATTGTTTCGGTTAAAATATTGCTAGAAAGGCTACGTCGTCTGTAGCGTGAATCATGTTGGCTAGAATGCGATCTGCGATTTCGCGACCGACTCCTACTCTCTCCTATTAGGCATGTTTTCTTTTTTTTAGCAAGTATTCAAAATTAGACGTAATTCCAAGCAGGGCATTCAAGTTACGGTAAATAATTGATCAATAGGGTAGACACGACAAAACATTAAAATTGAGCCATTCTAAAATGTACACAAAAAGCTAACAAATACAACTTCTATTTGTTATTTTAAAGCGGAGAAGGAAACAATTGGCACGTACTCACCAAAGTTGACATCATAAAACTTGATCACACCGTCACATCACGTCTTACTTACGTTTTTTATACGAAACACCGAAAACAAAGTGCTAATTTGTCCTTTTAAACAAGGGTAGTTACAATTTCCAAAAATATATTTCTGATCGTATGACTAGCCAATTAAAGAAATAACAATGGAAACACATCGTATCAGGATGTACAAACAAGGACCTGGGAGTTTCACTATCCCACTTCTGATCTTAAGGATCAGAAGCCGGGAAAATTAAAAAAACACTCTCTTATACACTACTACAGTACTTTTTGAATTAATAAGAAAACTAACAGAATTGAATAAATGTAATTAACACTAAAATGATTTAAAAATACAACATTAACTTAATCAACTATCAGAGTTAAAATGAT